CGTCACCTGTGATGAAACGAAAGCATAAGCCTCTGTTGGAGAATGTGACAAAAGGCAGGGTGCTCCCAGGCACAGACCTGCTACAGATGCCTAGGAGGGATTTGTTGGATGTGAAGGTTTCCCAAACGGTAGCAACAGAACCGAGGTGACTGGGAGAAAAATCAGTGTAAGGTGGCAGAAAAATAAAGGCATGGTAGTTCCGAGGAACGTTTCTACCCTCCTCAAAAGTAGCCTTCAATCTCCAACCCCCGAGCCTCAAGAAGATTTTCATCCGGCAGAAGTTTCTTCAGAGCCCCCTCCCCCTTCCCTACCTTCCACTAGAACTCCCTGTCACTTGCAATCTGCTGATTAGGGCTAATGTATTGTGTCCTGATATGGCAGATTAAAAATGAAATCAATAAATGCCTAAAACAAATGGGCTTTTGAGATGTCCCATTCAATCTGGGTCTTTAAGGGTGAGGTGAGAAGTGGGAGAAGGAAGTCAGGCAGGGAGCTGGGGAAGGGACCACTTAAGTAATCAATTTCCATCCAAAACGCTCCGGTGCAGGATGTGGTTTTCCGTGGGACCTGTCCTTCCTTTTTCAGGGATCTGTCTTAAATAACAAGAAGAGCCAGAGCAGTTCGAGCTGCTGCGCCCCTCTGGGGGTGTGTGTGTGTTTATGTTTTCCATTCATCTGTTAAAAACGTACTGTTTGGGTAAGTGAATGGGGTCTATAGCATGCAGTATTTAAATCTGCAAGACGTGAACTTGTCTTTCTGAAGTATGTTTAAATAAAGTGAGAGTGCCAGGGTCCCGACTCTACCCAGATTCCTATTCCCTGGAATCCCATCCCACTTGCCAGTAAATTAAACGTGAACTTCACCATGAGTGGCCTGCCGCCTCCCCACCCTGCTGGTACAGATTGCTAGGACCTCAGTGGGTTCACCCAGGCACCAGCTCTCAGTAGGCTGAAAAGGCTATCGCTGGGGTCAACTCCTGCTCCACTGCAGGATTCAGAACTGTCCCTGATGAATATGTTTCCCATGTAAATAAGCTATGCCATTAAGGTGCAAATTGTAACTTTTAAGTAATGATTGCTAATAGTCTAATGTTTACTGCCACACAAGGACATTCATGAAAACAAAATCTGCATTATTCATCTCCATATTAAATAAACAAAATAAATTGAGGGAGCCATTCTTCCCTGAGAGACTTTCCTCAGATCTGGATTATCAGATAGTTTAGGAGAGTCAGCAAGAAGGAGACATTTAATCTCTTTGGGCTGAAAGAAGCAGAATCCTGCAACTTACGCGTACATTCGATATTCACAAGCCCCAAAGATCGTGCATTCGACTACAATTGGCTGGCATTATATAAAAACAATAGTTCAGGGTGGTAAAATAAAATATACGTAGTACACATGTCTGTGTACAGAGGCTATGACAGATTGTAGAAAATAGAAGGGTTTGCAGCGTAAGTCTGCAATTTAAAATTTTTAACTACGCTGAATCCTGCAAAATACAAACAAATCAAAACACTGCTCTGTTTTATTTTACCTCTCTGCCATCTTCTCTATCTGCCCTAAAATGGAGAGGGGGGAAAGATGCTGATAGAAAATCCCACAGTATTCTCAGGTAAAAGTGGATGCATTTTAGTGGTGAGGGAAATATACATCCAAGGAAGCCAGCACACACACTAACACATACACAAACCCCTGGGGTACCATAGGCTGTTTTCTGAACTTTTTTTTTCTTGCCCGAAGTAATAGTATGGTGGAAAAGCATAGCTTTAGAAAGCCAGGAAGAATGACATTTCAGAGGGAAACAGAGGGAAATGTTCTGACTTAGCTGTTTCCTTAAAGAGAACTGCCTACCTCACATCCCTTCTTTTAAGGCGGTGGGGGGGGGGGGGGGGGGGGGGGGGGTAGAACAAAACAAATAAAGACCGAGATTCCCCATCACTTATAATATCATCTTGTTCATTCTATCTGCATACCTGCTTTATTAGAAAGTTCTGTAACTGATTCCCTGAACCATGGAACTTAAAACTAATAATGCAAAGAAACCAAATTGCCTCGAACAGTTCTTGGGAAAGAGTTTCAGCTCTGATTCACTCACAGGCTTTTTCTATCTTACATTATTCATTAATCAAGCTAGAAATCAAGCTTTCAACATCAGTCCATGGGAGTAATTACTTACAGTTGTGCATTGCGTTTAATTTCAGGCAGCGATAAAAGTTAGTACGGCCACAATCCTGGAACCCACCTTGTTCTTTTCCCTTCATGACCAACTACCTAAAGAATCCCAAAGTGGCTAACTTTGCTCATGGATCGCCACCTCAGCTACAACGGAAGACAGCACCGATGACTTTGGAGGAAAGAAACATCGCAAAAAGAAAAATCTGTTTCATTCATATGTGAGCAAATAAATACTGTAAGAAGGGCCTCCTCGCATGCAGTAGGAATGATTCCCTTTCAGCTTGACAAGGGTTTCTGCTTTCTTCAGTGAAAATAATAAAGCCATGAAAACAAACATAAAGACACCAGGAATTTGACAATGGGCTAGTGAACTGAAACTGGAGTCATAACTTTCAAACGCACACACACACTACAGTAAATAGACAAGCCAGTTCCAATAGATACCAGCTTAATGAAAAGGATCTAATTTAAATAATGTGATACAGCATTATGTTACTACACCTGGATCCTCATTGATCAGAGGATAATTATAATCAAAGTAGTGCAATTCTGAGCAATGCACTTTTTGTAATGAGCTAACCAAAGGAGACATGTCCAGTCATTCTGGTAATTTAAATTACTGCCTAGTTGTTGATGGCCTTTACCGGAACAACAAGGGGGAAAAAAAAAAAGAGTAATTTTCAGGGCAGTATCACTTCTTGCTGGACTGTTGCCCAGAGTTTTCTTTTGGGACAATAAGGACGTTATCTCTAATCATCTAGCTACACGAAAACTTGGGTTGTTAGAGCTAGAAGGAGCACGCTTACTTTTCCTGGGTCTAGAAGGCCAGTGCACACCCCAGTGCTGTCAGATTGCAAAACAATCTTAAGTTTTAACAAATAAGCGGTTGAAATGTAGACACGGACAGGGGCAGGAGGGAGAAACGGTTTTCAAAAGAGGTAGCCAGAGTTGCAGAAAAGAACACCTCACTGACGAGGCAAGCTCTACATATATACGGCACTAAGAATATTGCAATTATTTTGCTCTTTGGGAAACAGTTGGAAAACACACGAATCAAAGCTTTATAAATGATATTTCCGCACGCAATTTGACCCGATCTACGCGTGGTTACGGAAGCAATTCTGCGCTCTGGAGGGAAGATAGCTGGGGATATTTCAAAGCACATGGACTGCCATTCATGCTGGAACCAAGCCATGGTGGAGGATGAACTTGGTGGTCCAGCCTGTTCAGACGCAAACACCCACTTTGCTCAGATTTGTGACTAACTTTGGATTTATTCTAAGGGTGGCTTTATAAAGTTTACAAAAGTGTTCCACTGAACTTCTTCCTAACGTTTCGCTCCCGTTACAACAGAAGGAAATGTGTTTTGGGTCTGCCGAACACCAGCCTTCACTGATGTCCCCTAAAGCATGAAAGTAAAGACAGAGAAGTGGGGGGGGGGCGGCGGTAAGAACTTCAGCTTTTTGCTAAAGCCCTGATTCAACAGAAGGACACAAAGAAATAAAAACGCCCACATTAAAAGCCAAACAAGATAATAATTGTGCATGTCTGGCTCTGAATCTAGAGGGCAAGGCTTGCGTCACTGGTACTCTGAGTTACCATGGTGAGTGATTTATTGATATATATCAAGAATGAATAGATCAAAGGCAGCGAGATGACAGGTGATCAATCAAATGTCAAATCAAAACTAGCAATCAAGTGGAAAGCTGATTTTTCAGTGGGTGGGTCTGGCAGGAGAAAAATGAACTTTCATATTACACTTCCGAGAAACAAAACCCCAGCATACTATTAAAAAAGCAATTAAGCAACCCAAAAGGAAAAAAAAAATCCTTTAGAAGGTCTATTGTACTGATCCATTAACCTGTTCCTCTTTTGGGGGGAGGGGAAGGGGTTAGTAAGGAAAGATTCAGATGGGATACCCTACAAATCAATTTACAAAGTTTGCAACTCTCTCTGGGCAAAGAAAATCCTGAGCTGTTTCAATGTTCTATTGGGCATTTTCCCTTTTCTTTCTTTCTTTCTTTTTCTTTCTTTCTTTTTTTTTTTTTAAGAGAAAGAGTGATTAGATTTCCAAGCATATTTAGAAAGCACATTGAAAGGTTCATTCCTTTCCTGGGGTGGGTTTTTTCCACCTTGGCGATCAAAGTTAGTCTCCTTGCTTGCCCCAAAGCCAGCCTGCAGCCCAGGGCTCTGGCATGCCTCACACTTCGGCGCCCCAAACCCCAGCGAGCGCAGACACTGTCCCTCGAGGCCAGAAGCCACTGGCACTGACCACGCGGAGGGATGCGGGGGTGGACGGACTGTCTCCCTACCCCGCACCCCAAATCCACAACCCAACTTTGGCCGGAGAGGCAAGAAACAGACTGGGAGAAAGTTAGGGGTGGGGTAGAGGGTGGAGGAAAAAAAAAGTTTAAGGAGGGAAGGCTTGGTGGGACAGCTTCCCCCCCCCCCCCCACCCAAGCGGAGCCTGCAAAGGGGAGGATTTGGGAGATGGGAGAAGGAGAGAGAGGGGATGGGGTTATTCGCGGGGCAGAGAGGGGCGCCCGGCGCGAACTCCCCCCACAGCTCAGGGGGTGGCGTCCTGGGGCACCCGGGGGCTGGGAGGGCGGGCGAGGAGCTCGGTGCGCCCCGCAGCCCCGAAGCGGAGCCGAGTCTCTTACCTGCCGCCCGCTTGGGTGCCTGCTGTTTCCTCCTTGGCATCGCTCTACTTCGCTCCAGTCCTACTTCTGGCGCCCCAGCCCCGAGCCGCGCGCGGGGGCCCGCTGCTCGCTCGCCTCTCTGGGTGTCCTCCGCCTCCTGCCCGGTGGCTCCTAGGGCGTCACTCGGCCTCTGTCCCCCTGGCGATCCCCCCTGCAACTCCTCCACCACGGGCCAGAGACCCCCCTCTCCGGGCGGCAGACACGGGTGGCTTGTGCCGGCTGGTTGGAAGCAGAGGTTGGTTCTGCCGTGTTTGTTTGTTTGTTTGTTTTGGATTTTGTTTTCCTCTCTCTCTCTCTCTCTCTTTTTGTTTTTGCTTTTTTGGAAATTTTTGGTTTTTGGTTTTTTTTTTCTTTTTCTTTTTTTTTTTTTGGTGACTGTTGAGACACTTGATTTCTTTATTAAACATCCAAGACCGGGTTCGGATGGAAGGGACGAGGGGCGCACACGCGCCACACGCACACGCGCGCGTAAAGATAAGGGGGAAAAAGGCAATCCTGGGAAGGTAGTGGTTTCTTCTTCTTTTTCTTCCTCCTCCTCCTCCTCCTCCTCCTCCTCCTCCTCCTCCTCCTCCTCCTCTCCTCCTCCTCCTCCTCCTCCTCCTCCTCCTCCTCGCCGGTCTCTATGGCGGATTCGCGCTAGGGGAGAGAGATCACTCACTGTAGATTTGCGGCCGCTGTCAGATTCCCGTCGGTGAATGATATGCGAGAGGACAGGAGCGGGTTTGGGAAAGACAGAAAATCTGGAATTCACTCACTCACTCACACACACTCACACGCACGCAGACACACACACAGACACACACACGCACACACACGCGCACGCACTCGCGCTTCCTCTCACACACTCACACCCCCCACATATGCGCGCACACACACACACACACACACACACACGCACGCTCACACACTCACACACACAAGACAGGGCGAGGCGATTCCAGCAAACATCGATCCCGCTGAACAAACTGAACATTAACAAACTCCTCCTCCTCCTCGTCTCCCCGCGACCTGATGACAGGGAGAAATTTACTCCCCAGCCGCAGAGCGCCAGGCAGAGGGAGTCTATTAAAGGGACAGTGTCCCGCCGCGGAGAGGGGCTGGGGGCGGGGACCCCGCGC